ATTTTTCATTTATTTTTATTATCGTTATCAAAATACACTAAATGACGGACTTAATGCCATACAGCATTATCTACAAGACAACTAGTAAAGGTGTCTGATAGAAAGCTAACGGGCGCAACAAAGAAAAAAGAAGGGCTTTAATAACAAATATATTTACACAAATATAAAATACTTAAATAAATCAGATACAAAGGGGCTTATTTGCAAGATTGAGATAGTGTTCACGGACCAGTCTCTTAAATACAAATTAATTGGGAGCTTTCTTATTGTTAAGGGATAAGGTATTCCAGAGTCGTGTCACTGTAAGAGTAAATGAAAAAGAAACGAAACCAGAAGAATAGACAAGAGTTTGCAGACAGGTGTTGTTAGATGAGCGACGGTTACGGATATGACAAGATACTGGAATCTCGATTTCTGATATATTGGGGCAGTTACCGCACGAATATTGCTTGGTGTCAAAATCATTAACATATGTTATACAGCCATCTTTGAGTCACCAAGATACGTAAGTGTACTGAATTTAAATTCAATCTATGCAGAATTTGCAGAGAAAACAAGCTGAAGCAGACACGGATGTGCAAAAAGACATGAGTGATCCTATAATATTTCTCCTTTTATTGTACGGAACCTAGAAAAATATTAAAATTCCAACGAAGTTAGTAATATATCTAACCGAGTTTAGCTTAGTCTCCATGATATTATTATACACATATGTACAACCATTAATTTTAACTGCGGTTTACCACTTTAACGACCTATCCGAATCGTAATGATATGAGAAGGTCGACCGTTTGCGTTGTGGGATGTAAAGTAAGCATTTTCTTTTTAATGAGCTTGTTTAGGTATTATTTATAATAACTATGGTAAAATGTTATTGATACTATTTATTATATTTTATCAATTTTGCATTAACATTGTAGCTCGTTGGCGTAGTGGATAAGCGCCTCGGCCCGCGATCGTTATTGTTAAGCAACTTTCGCAAGGGTCGGTCACGGGATGGGTAACCAAAAATTATTATCTCGAGCTTCAAAGGCACATTAAACCTGTCGCATTTGTAGTCGTTAATACCTTTCAATCTAGATTGGGCCAAAGGAGGGTCATAGCCCGTCTTCCTTGACCATGCATAAGGAAGGCCTAAGCTCCTGCAGTGTGGACGTAAAAGATGTGATGAGGACAATGATGAATGCTATACTGATATTTATCTTAAATGAAACATGGTTCAAAATATTAAAGCATATTTCAAAAGTCGTTAGTTTCAAAGTTTAATAATTACGCCAGCGATTTATAGAAAATGCGATGAACATGAAATAGCTGATAAGACTCATTATTAACCCCTTACTCCTCTAGTTCTTGTGAGTTATAAATTAATTTTGTAGTACCTATAATTAACTACAGCATATAGGTTTAATGTAATAAACAAGGTTTAATAAATAGGTATCGTCATTGTTAGTTTTACTTAAAGAAAGCTTACAAATTTTCATAAATTTATTCTAGGTGAAATGAAATTATTAAGGTGTAACGTTAACATTTTTTGAATTATTGATAGTGCATTATAGTTTTTTTTTTTGTTTAGAAAAATAACAAACATAATTTATTTTCTTTTTTCCTATCTGAACTGACACTAGATTTTCAGATCAGTAATGATACTAGTTTTATTTATTACGATAATTTAAAGTAATGACAAACCTTCTGAATAAAAAAAATATGCATCAATAATATATGAGCTTTTAAGGCAGAAACCAAAGTCCATTAATTTAGCTACCCCAACCACTGCATAGGTCACGAAGTTCAAAGGGTACACGGATATTGGAAAACTAGGTCCCGGCATTAATCTTCCACTAACCATGTGACAGGGAATATTAGTTCGACTGATTACGTATTCTATAAACTATTATAATGGGAATGACGACTATTTTTTTTTGTTTGTCCGTCACGTAAATTGTTGTCAAATATCAAACAAGAGTTTTTTTTCTTTCGTAATTATTAAGTTACGACGATACATTGAGTAAAATGTCACATGACTTCACGCTTTGGTACATTTTCTACAAAACTGTGACGTAACGAGCCCTCATTTCTCAATTTTAATGCCTGTTATCTAAACTATTTCTTGTTAAATTGAAGTAAAAAAAATACGTATCTAATGTTTTTCTATTATCTAACTAACGTAATTAAATAGAATTTCTTTTTTTAATTTAAACAGAAATCTAATCAAAACAGTTCTTATATTAAAATGTGTTGTATTTCAGAATCGAGCCAAACTATTTATATTTTAATGCGGCCAAATTAAAAAGTGGCTTAATTTTACCTACAATTTAGTGACACTTCCTAATAAATTATTTTCAATCATCAATTTTCGTTTTACGCTAAGGGCCAGTTTTTTGATCCGTGGTTAACTCAACCATTTGTTAAAATCTTTGACAAATTGTTAAATATCAGCAAAATATGTTTTTTGATTAATAGTTCGCCTAACCAATTGTCAGAATTACAACCATTTGTCAAACAAATTAACCATCACTGGAAGCTAGGTTAAGTAAATGCTCAATTGTTAAAAGAACAGATGTACAACTGCGTTGTATGAGTACTTGCTCCCTTGTTATTGTTTTTTACGTTGTTTTTATAACCTACATGATTTTATAGTGAATTTGGACATAAGCTATTTTTGGGATTTCGTTTTATGATGCAATTTCATAGGAAAATATTAATTGTCATTTTTTGGTTATTGAAATATCTTGATCATCCTTATTATATTTGTACTATATAAAAATATGTTTCTTGTTTCCACGGGCAGATGCCAAAATATTCAATTATTAAAAATCTTATAAATTCCACGAATAGACAATACAAAAGGTAAAAATATGACTACAGTACATAAAATATATAGTCCTCGATTTAATTTCCAACATTACAATTCCACCTTGGATACTAGATACTATATTCTTTTCACGTATTTCTCTATAAGATAAATAAAAAACAAATATATGCTTTTTATAAAAAAAGTTAAGTTTAAAATAACTGGAAAAAACATATCTTTGTTGCTTTCTAACATTATTAAAGAAATTGCCTTATATTTCCTGAAAAATAACACAGTGCACACAACAGAACAACCATAAACATCCACACTGTTTGATATTTCTTTCGTCTATTTGATATTTAGAACAAAATCCCAGTTGTCACCCAGAAAAAAATTACCCATGTCAATGTATAGCGAAAAAACGACTCATTGTGCTGGCAACAAATTGGCCAGTGGTTAAATTTGGCTATGGTTTAAATGACATTTGACTACGGATCAAAAAACTGGCCCTAAGTTAATCATTATACTTGTATATTTTGTGATTGAAGTTTGTTATGAATTAATTTATTTAATAATAAATGTTGCATTATTTTAATGAAAACATTTGCTATTGACAGTGTTTTTATTATAACTGTCGAGTTGACGAAATATAAATGGAATTTAAATAAAATCTTTGTTCGCTATTTGTAAGGGATAAAACTCGATGACACGGGTAACAGAATATAGCCTGTAATTGGCATCAAACAGCTATTTCCCATTTACCAGATTGATCCATTTCCTTTTGATCATGTCGACTTAAATTGGCCTGTTTTACGCTTATATCGCGCCTTTCAAATCGCACACAGTGAACGGAATCCTCCTTCGACATTTCAGACAGACTAATCAAACGAGTATCATTGTTGCTCTGAAATTCTAGTGCTAGTTCCTTAACTAGGTACTATATAGGTATAAGAAATAAAAAGACCATGTATCTATTTATGCGGTTAGCAAACGAACATTGCATGAGCAGAGTTAAGTTAACCTAAATATACCTATACTGTGTCAGATAATTTAATAGTAAAATTAATCTTAGTATACAAAACTGTATCGATAAATTCAATAAACTCAAACTCTGTAAAGGAACTAAATACATACCTAATAAGCTAACTCGATAAATGTAATAATTTGATTATAATATGTTATACCGCTAAATATTTTATTAAAATTAATTTTACTGAAAATGAACTCAGTGAACGCAAACTCCAACTCAAACTCTTAACTCAAAAAACATTTTGGTCCTTTTTTATTATTTGTTATTTTCCAAAAACAAAATTATAACGCACTACCTAAAAACTTTAAAAAATATAAACGTAGCACCAAAACAATTTTATTTCAACGACATAATAAAAACTATTGATCAAAACTTCAAAAATCTCAATACCGGCGAACAATTGAGGCATGACTTATATCGTGCTTATATCGGTCAAACAAATAGTACAAATTCAAATTTCGTTACATTGTAAATAACTTCTCACTAATTTTAAGAAACAGAAAAAATATTTTTTGAAACTAAAACGCCTGAATGCTGATACGTTTAGAAAGACAATAATGGAAAGTATAAGTGGTGGTAGCACTGATCTTCCCACAATAGTCGAGGTTAGTTAGGATGAGCGCTCACTCGGCGGTCTATTGTTATGTTAATGAACCGGGCTGCCCACTTTTATTCTACTCATGAATATTAAATAATTGTCTGTGAAAATCACTGCTGAAAATACTCACAATTATAACCACGACTAACTATTTAGTCATACTATGGGTCAGTTGGTTTCTACACAATTGGCGTCTGAGCTATATTGTTTAATTATTTCCATCGTTATGTAAATTGTGCCTTGTTTAATATTATACATCAAAAATAGAAAATCCATAATTTCACAAAATTACATGCTAGACACCTTTTTACTGCTTAAACAGATGGAATAAATTAAAAAAAAAGATGTAACATTTCTGTATTTTAATTACTCTATTTACCATTAATTTAGACAAAAATAACAATGATTATTGTGGTTAATTTACTAATATGCCTTTAATAAAGTGATGGTCGAAATCATAACTGATTTATTTTTGGCTGCATGTACCTATTTCTTTACATTTATTGACGTTTGAATGAGTTTAATAGATTAACAAATGATACATTGATCTATCTTGTGAATTTTAAATATTTTTTACTTACCCGCATATCCAAGAGTGTCTCCTTCTTGGTATAGATGCAAGGGTAAGAGCGAACGGAGGCAGCGCCGCCGGCGAGTCCTCCTGATCATCCTGTGCCGGCGCTCCGCTGACGCGGACCTCCGGAACACGCAGTGTATGCCGACTCATCTCTTCACAGTACTCTCATAATCGAACCTTTAGCTCAGTTTATCATCCTCCAAGTCCGAAAGTTAACCATTTGAAAATTTTCACATGTACCCAAATAAACTCCGTATCGAAAATATCGCACACCTAGATCTAAACTGAGACAACTCAAAAATTTGAGTGAGTTTTGACTTAGTACAATATTCAAATACTTGGTGATCATACGCATCTATCCAACATAACAGATTCAATAAAGGTTCGAGGATGAGCCGATAGATGACTTTAGCTTTCTTTTGTTGAATCAACAGTGGTCACGCTCCTGCCACGTTAACAAATGTATTGTCAAACCTCCAAATTAGCTTTTTGAGTTGTCTTAGTTTAGATCTAGGTGTGCGATATGTTTGTGTGACTTTATTTAAAGCTTTTACCATTCGATTTATCTGAAATGATTAATCAAGCGTAAGTTATTTTCGAATTTTATTAAATATTTTAATTTAAAGTGCCGTTAAAATGATGTGTGTTCAATTTCATACACCATCGTTGAATTTTAAAATGTGTGATGAAATTTATAAAAAAATCAGAAGCAAATGCATCTTATCGTTTACTTTATTAGTTCCACATGGTGTTATAAAATAAACTTAATGTAGTTGACCTTTATTACGTTTGAAGCCTTTTCATGACATCCGTTTAACCCCGTATGAACGCGCACTAAACACACTCACGTTCAACTTTCAACTTCATTGTTTTCAGTAGTTTTACAAATGCTTAAAATAACAATAATTCCACTCTTTAATAGGACGCAGTAATAATAAGCACAACAGGTGTCTAGGCGTAAGCAGTGCTCTGCCCTTAAATTAAAAATAATTTAAACAAAAACAATGTGAAATAATTCAATTGGATTTGACACAATGTTTTTAAATGTAATAATTAAAAAATGCTTTTTATTTTTATCAAATTTGGGAAGTCTATTTTATACGTAGCGGTTGAAATATTATGAATTTGAGAAGTGTAATGCCAGAAGTGTTTATTGACTTTTTGTCTGAAATTTATGTTAGTTAGTGTACTACTACCCTTTACCGTACATTTTTCTTCATTTTATTTTATTATTTTATTCAGGACGTTTCCAAAATTAACATAATACAAAAGTATACACATTATTACTAAGGGACATTATATTATTTTTATATGTATATAGTGATATTCGTATGTCCTTTGGTACACTTCTGCCCTTCATCCAAGTGCCTGTACTTATAGCCCTAACAAGCCAATCGTGTCAGCTTAGAACCTTGACATTATCGAAATCCGCTTCGATTTTGCGTCCATTTTACGTCTTCTAAGGTTTACTAATAGTAATAAACGAAAATCAAAAATTGTATTAAAAGAAACTGCATTATGTTAAATATGTAATCGTGTGAGTTTTCAATAAACGTTCCCAATTCCAATTTATGGTCGTATGAGTTGACTTCCATTTACAATTTTTAGAAAAAATTATAAACTGTGTTTGTGCCAAATATACATCAGCCTGAAAATTTGCTCTTTTATATATAGAATTACATTTGATAAATTGAACTTTATTATGTTATGATTTCAATTTTTTTAAGTAGCCTTTCTTAGTTTATTTTCATTAAATTTCACTGTGATTTCATAGGTAATCGAGCTAGTTAATATTTCATTATATTCATCCTACTATATAATCTTACAAATACGAATTTGTAAGGATGGATATATATTTGTTATTCTTTCACGTAAGAACTTAACGGATTTTGTTGAAATTTACGGATAACTCTAAGTCTGAATTAACTACTATTGGTCCCACTTAATAAATCCATACGAATAAAAGTACCATCAAAAATCATGTAAACAACGCGGGCGAAGTCACTGGCGGAGTGCTAGTAATTATATGATTTATCAATAAAATAATATAATAGGAATAAGAAATATAAATGTTTATTGAGTTCAATTAAGTAAATTATTCAATTGTCATTCATATGTATTCAATAGAATTGCCGGATATTGTATTAGTGAATGTGAACATCTGTTGGCCGACTGCCTAATGCTCGCCCTAACCCTGTCCCCAAGGCTAAACTACTAAAAATTTCGTTATACTGTCCCATAAAAGCAAACTACTTTGAAAATTAAGCATGTCTGATTTGGAGTACACGCACATAGTTCACTTTATACGAATTAAGTTTTATTCATGTCATTTTTCAATCTTCACATAACAGACTCATTCTAGAGATACAACTTTGTAGTTTTTTTTTTATTTCGAGTAAAATTTATCTTGTTTTTTGTCTGTACAAGTTTCCTTCGGTCTCTGTAATACTGATCAACAAATTGTTCAATATTTCTGTCACGAAACAGAATTGCGGAAAAAAAAACAGTCTCCCTTAACGTAGCCCTTATTTGGTTGGCCGTCGTAAATTTAGACTGGGCTTCTACTAAATTTTGCAACACACAAAAAGTAACAGAGAATCCAAACCCAAGCGCTCGCTATTAGAGGTTACATTACGCTTAATTAAGGTTCTAAATGCCAAATTCAAAATGGGACTTTAATTACTCCGCATAAATTTATTTAAATAAATGTACTTAAATACCTAAGGATATTTCACACTTAAAAATACAGAAACAATAATACATTTCGAGATTTATATGGAAGGTAAGCAATAAAATTTCACCTGCCATCTTGGGTAATATTTCACAGCTCTGGAAAATTGGTTTCTCGGGTTAATAACAAATGTAACACCCGCATTAAAGTAGAAAAAAAAAAGATTTTAATGTTTATTACGAACAGCTGATTATTTTTTCTGTAATATTATAAGTTAATGATATTAATAAAGTTACATATTATCAGAAGTTCAAATTAATATAAATAGTAACGATTACTTATAGCTTAATATAATGTAACATTAAGAAGATATAGACAGTGACTGTTAAAGACAAATTCTTAACACAAATATATAATAGTTTCAGATTTTCCAATTCAACTTATATCCTTCACTAGTGTTGGATCTATCAATAACATCACAATAATAGGTATAACACCTTTCTAAGGCCGTCACTACGCAGATCTTTACTACACTTCGTAGCAACTCGCATCAATTTTATGGGGCGTTCAATCTGAATTTCGCTGCTCGATTTACTTTGATCGATATGTTTGGATACTTTTCATAAAATCACGCCATCACGAATGGACGCTACTTCAATATATTTTTTACGAATTTCATATTCTTGATACTTTTGACAGGATTGTTTATTGGAAAACAGTGGATTCTAATTTCACTGGACAATGGACATAATAGGTTCAATTCAACGTATATCATAAGTTAATAACACATCTGATTGCTTTAGTTGCTGTATTGATATAATTTACTGACGTTAATCCAAACATTTTGTTGGGTCATACAATACATCAACTGCCATACAATTTCCATATTTAGATTAAAATCAAACTCACAGTAGGTATAGTAACTTGAATTAAATGACTAAAATGATTATTTTCTTAGTGGCACAAGACAAACAGTTTTTGTTTTACAAATATTAGGACCCTAAATTTTCCAAGTAAAATATTAAGGTAATTTTGGAGCGGATCGTGGTTTGTTTTCTAATATCTTAAGAACGTCTACAAAATAAAAGATAAAGATTAGCTACATTTTATAAAATGCCTACATAGCTACTTACTTTGTGGACGTATGTTTAAATATTTTAGATTTTACATCTCACATTTCATTTACAAGATGAATAATAAGCTTACATAATATAAGGGTTTACATTTAGCGTTTCATTTAATAATTCAATTGTGAAATCTAGTGAATTAAGTACTCATTATATGGACTACGTTACGATATAGAAAGACATAAAGAAAAATAAATTATTTTTGGGCACACATAACACTCACAACAACATAATATAGAGCTAAAATAAGAAATAATTGTATACCGATGATTATAGATGCTCTGAATGCTATGATATGCCAACACTGGACTCAACTTAGTAGTAGATTTGCTGATGTGGCATTGGCAATTGAAATAATTATTAAACTTATCACAATAATTCATAAAAGCTACGTAGGTAATATAAAACATAAGGAAGAATATTACGTCGTCTCTAACTCAGCATGTAACAAAAATATAAATAAGTCGTCCATAACCCTATTGCATCTATGATTGCATAAAATATTCCTTTAACTTGTTGCTAAAAGTGTTTTTTTGTTTTCAGCGTGCTAATGGGAGTTGTTCCAGTACTTTGATGCTGAGTATTTAAAAGATCCTTAGAACGCGGCAGTTCTACGTTTCGGCGTCTGTAGTACTATATACATTTTTATCCTTAGCTCAGATGATTTTTGAGTGACATTCAGGTACTTTAATGTGTATAATATCAAATAACCAGGTGGCAAAACCAATTTTTTTTACGACCACTTATCAATTTGGATCTGTTTAGAAAAGGTGTTATGTGAGTTCTTGGAGGAATGAAAACCAGAAACGTGCAAATGTGTTTTGTACCCGCTGTAAGAGGTGTTTGGTTCTTGCCAGCAGGCAGGAACCAAACACTATATCTGCATAATTTAGTTTTGCAATAACTTACGTGTGACACAGTAGCTCGCTGGCGTAGTGGATAAGCGCCGCGGCCCGCGGTCGTAGACGTTAAGCAACTTTCGCAAGGGTCGGTCATGGGATTGGTGACCAAAAATTATTATCTCGAGCTACTCCATGCTTCGGAAGGCACGTTAAGCCGTTGGTCCCGGCTGCATTTGCAGTCGTTAATACCCTCCAATCCGCATTGGGCCAGCAAGGAGGGTCATGGTCCATCCTCCTAAACCATCCATAAGGAAGGCCTGAGCCCCTGCACTGGGGACGTCAAAGGGCTGGTGATCATGATGATGATGATGACGTGTGACACAAGCCCACTTTCAGACCTTCACTTAGAAACAAGTGGAACTTATACAGAATTTTAAGACGATAAAAACATTTCCTGACAGCCTCTAGTGTGTGTTTTCAAAACGTAAGTTAGATTCAAACACAGCCACT